GGTCGCCCACGCACTTAGCCGCAAATCGGTCAACGCCCTCATAGTCCAACCTAGCTTGGGAGAATCGATCAAATCAGCCCAACAAAACGACCCTCAAATTCTCAAAATTCGCGACAACCTCGAATCCAATCCAAACTTCCGAATTTCTGAAGAAGGTCTTGTCCGATTCCAAAATCGCATTTACGCCCCCGACGATCCTAATGTCCGCCGACTAATATTGACCGAAGCTCACCAAACCACGTACACTTGCCATCCCGGAGAAACCAAGATGTACCAACATCTAAAAAAGCTCTATTGGTGGCCAGGAATGAAGAAAGACGTGGCCTGATTCGTCGCAGAATGCCTAGTGTGCCAGCAAGTCAAAGCGGAACATCAGAGACCCGGAGGTCTACTTCAATCAAACCTAATTCCGGAACGGAAATGGGAAGCTATCACAATGGACTTCGTGCAAGGATTTCCGAAGACCCAAAGGGGATCCGACGCCATTTGGGTGATCGTTGACCGACTGACCAAAACGGCTCACTTTCTTGCGGTCCGAATGACCTTCAGTTTAGAGAAGCTGACCGAACTATACGTCCGAGAGATAGTCCGACTCCACGACGTCCCCATCTCCATTATTTCTGACCGAGACCCTCGATTCACGTCCAAATTCTTGAAAAGTTTACACGAAACCCTCGGAACGCGATTAAACTTCAGCACCGCCTATCACCCCCAAACCGACGGCCAATCCGAACGAACTATCAAAACCCTAGAAGATCTTCTCCGCGCTTGTATTCTCGATTTTGGAGGAAATTGGGAATCCCGCCTCCCACTAATCGAATTTGCATACAACAATAGCTTTCACTCGTCAATTGGAATGGCACCCTACGAAGCTCTGTACGGCCGGAAGTGTAGATCCCCGCTCCATTGGGACGAAATAGGTGAAAGAAAATTCCTTGGTCCCGACCTAGTCCAACAAACCGTCGATATCATCAAAAACATTCGAGAGAAAATGCGAATTGCCCAAGATCGACAACAAAGCTACGCCAACACTCGAAGGAGAGATCTCGAATTCGAAGTCAGAGACTCCGTATTCTTAAAAAGTGGCGCCTTTCAAAGGAATTATGCGATTTGGGAAAAGGGGAAAATTAGCACCGCGATTTATTGGCCCATTCGAAATTCTCGACAAATTTGGTACTCGCGCCTACCGACTAGCCTTACCACCCATCTTATCCAACTTTCACAATGTCTTTCACGTTTCGATGCTTCGAAAATACATTCGCAGTCCAGGCCACGTATTGAAAACCGAACCGATCGAACTAAACCCGAACCTATCCTACGAAGAGAAACCTTCCCAAATACTTGATTCAAAAACCAAAACCCTTCGAAACCGAGACCTAAAATTCGTTAAAATTCTTTGGCAAAACCATACACCCGAAGAAGCCACGTGGGAGCGAGAAGAAGAAATGCGCGAATATTATCCCAAGTTGTTCAGGTAACAATTTTGGGGACAAAATTTCTTTAAGGGGGGGAGATTGTAACACCCCACCTTTCCAAAACCCGAAAACCCTAAAAACCCGAGAATAAAATATTCCTAACTCGAGAACCCTAGGATAATATTATTACGTAATATTAATTATATACATTACGTGAATTTAATTATGTGACTTACGTGAGTAATTACGTGCGTTAGTATATGTGTGATTTATATGAGTTGAATTTTCGTAAATTGAAATTCTAGGAATTTCGTGAATTACGTGATTTATGTGAATAATTGCATATCTTATTTATTTAGTACATTATTTTTATATGTTCGAAATTTGGTGAATTATGTGAATTATATTGTGATTATATATATACGTACATACATACACATACATACATGCATACTTACATGCATACGTATATACGTACGTACACATACATATATGCTAAAACTTGCATTGTATATTAGAGTATATTTACATATATATGATATATTAATATATGTGTGTGTGTGTATGTCCGAAATGTGTGTGTGTGTTGTGATGCAAGTTGGATTTATTTTAAATAAATAAATTGTGATTAATTGTGCATGCATTTACACTTGGCAAAATGCTAATCATTTTCCCTAATCCTACACTCCACCCTACTTAGAAAGATGAAGAGACACCCTTCATCTTTCTTCTTCCAACACCTAGCCAAATTACTTGTCTCCTCCTCCCTTCCCCACCGAAGCAAATCACCACCACCATCGGCCCTCTCCTCTCTCCACCTCACCTCCCATTTTCAAAGAAATTCCCAAAAATAAGATGAAAGTTCGTTATTTAACACTTGCTATAGATTACTCCAAAAACACTATCAAAACCACTTGTCTCCTTTCGGGAGATCACAACTCATCCCTCCTTGAAGCTCACACAATTTCATTCACAATCAAGGTAGCTTGGTTGGACTTCGGTGCTTGAAAGCCTCTCTTCCTTCGGTTGTTTTCTTTCTTCGATTTTAAGGTAAGAAATTCCGATTTCTTGCTGCAATTAAATGGCATCAATAGTATTAAAATCATTTTCAAAACTTTTAAAAGATTGGGAGTGATTTCGAGAATTTAGGGCTTTTTGGGGAAAAATGGCAAAGGAGTGATCCTTGTTAATTTCTTGTTCTTGCATGCATCATCTATGTTGATAGTGGGTAGATACAACTTTTATTGGCCAAAAGCATTGAAAATTTCGGATTTCAAAAAGGGGTTTCAAGAAAAATGAATTTTTGAACTTTTATGGGGTTGCATGTGTAGATCTTCAAAAGTTTTGGGTCAAATCTGGAAATTTTGAGAAGTCAGTCCTAAATGTGTTTTCAAATCTGTTTTCCAGCATTTGTTGAACAAATATTTCGGATTTAAAAAAGTTCTGTGAAAAAAAAAATGATTTTTGAACTTCTAGTAGTCTTGCATGTGTAGATCTAGAGATTTTGGGGTAAAATATGTAATTTCCGAAATTTCTGCATAAAGTAACTTTTCAACTTTGTTTTCTGCATCTAGTAAAGTGGAATTTCAGATTTGTTAGGGGTTTTCATGAAAAGAGTGGAATTTGAACTTCTAGTGTGGTTGCATGTGTAAATCTTGAAACTTTTGGGTCAAAACTGCAATTTCCGAAAAATCCCTCATTTTTTAAAGTTTGGATCTGTTTTCCAGCAAGTATTAAATAGAAAAAAAATTATTTACAAAGTTTTCAAAGTAATTAAGGTCACATGAGAGTTTTGGATTTTCAAAAGAAAAATGGAAATTTTCGAATTTTAATTTCAAGAAAATTTGAAACTTGGTGAAAATTTAAAATAATTTCAGAATCTGAAATTTGGGTCATTTAGGAGTTATAGTATTTAATTTGAGAATTTTTGGAATTGGTTTGCTATCATTTCAAAATTAGGATAACTTGCATGTCATTTATACATGTTTTGTGCTTTAATTGTTTATGTCTTTGATTAAATGGTTATGAGTGATGAGATTTGAGATTTTGTACTTTTAATTGTTGCTGGATGTGGTTTAATGGATGTGAGAAGTTATTGAAATGGATTATTACCTAGAAGTGGTAATAAGTTCATTAAATGAGATGTGAAAAAGGGGTACTTGTTTTCAAGCATGGTTTGATGATTAATAGTGATGTTAATGTGTTGGTTGCATGTATGTGTGCTGAATACGTGTGAGTGTGTGTGTGCTGATTGTGCATGTGGTGTGTGCCGTGTGTGGTTGTGTGTTTATATGTGTGAATTTGGGATTTTTGCCCAAATTACAAATATGTGGTAAATTGTAAGATTTGTGTGATTTTGTGGCACTTGATTGATATTTGTGATGTCATGTGTGGGTTATAGCATTATTTCGAAAAGTTGCATTAAATGATTTTTAAATTGAAAGATTAATGGAATATCGGGTAATAAACACCTCGGATATAGTGGGCCGGTATCCAACTAGGATGATGTGTGTAGTGGTTTGATTCCACTTAGTGAAAACGGGCTCGTAACAGGTTTATTATCCAGGTACAGAAATTAATCTTTCACGGATCCGATAAAACGAAAAATGTGTTTTTCATGATTATCACAAAAAGGGCATTTTAGTCATTTTGCATAAGTACGTGATTTTGTGTGAATAGTGTGCTTTCGTGAGTATGCAATGTTATCAATTGCCTTGTGTTGTTGTACGGAACGTGGGTAAGAATGGGTATATAATATTATATATTATGTATAACGTATTTCCAAAGTTCGATATTACTCGGATTTCTTACTGAGCTTTATAGCTCATATAGATGTCTTTTAATTGCAGGTAGTAGTAATCCTCAACCGGGATGGATCGAGTAGCGGATCGAGGTCTTGCCCGGAATTTTGGAAGACGTACGAGGACCTATGAACGATGCTAGAAACTTTGGGTATTTTCCTTTGGTGATGTAATAGTAAACCTAGATACTTCCTTTTCGTATCTTTTAAACTCGTTATCTATATGGATCGTACCTAACCCCTACTTATGATAGAGTAAGTTTCGTAATTTGCTATTTTTCAGGCCTCCGTTAGTTATTTCCGAATTATGCACCAAAATAACCTTTCCAAACTCTGATTTCTTCTCGAACCGAAAACCGATGGTGATACTGTAGCACTCGAACTAAAAACCTCCCCTCGGAACTTATTTCCAAACGAAACCTTTATTCGGCTAAAGTAACCTACGAAAAGTTTTTTTGAAAGTGCAAAGTTTTCATTACCCAAAAGAAGATATTTTTGATAATTGCATTTTCGCCCCATTCCAATGTTTTAAAAATTACAAAGTGATCCTTTGCTTCCGCTAGTTTAATGAATATTCTGATAAACCGGTTCGATTTATCACCCGACTAGAAGGGGGGTGCTACAGAGAGTGGTATCAGAGCATGGTTCATAGATACTCGTACGAACTTCGCAGGTTTAAAGACTACTCGAGACGCGAAGCTCGGCCCATTCGGTAACTGTGTTAATTTTATTACTCTATGTGTTTTACGTGTTTTACTTGTTAATTGTAGATTAATATAGAAATAATGGCGAGACGTATAACCCGAGGAAACTCGAGCACTCCTTCCGATGAACCACAAGACCACAATCAAACTATTAATAACCTCTCAAACTTAATCCGAGAACAAGCCCAAAACCACCAGCGCCAAATCGAACAACTCCTCCAACGTAACCAAACCCCGCCTCAAAATAATGCACCCCAAGCCATATACGAACGATTCCTCCGAATGAACCCATCCGAATTCCACGGTGACACCGATCCCGCCATAGCCGAAGAGTGGATCAAATCACTCGAAGTCATTTATGACTACATGCAAATGACCGACCGTGACCGCGTACACTGTGCCATATTCCTACTCCGAAACGAAGCTCGTCACTGGTGGGAAGGAATCAAAGAAGGAACGAACCTCGAGACTCTGCCATGGACCGATTTCAATGTCCAATTCTTCGAAAAATATTTCTCGAAAGACGTGCGAGCCCACAAACTCAAAGAATTTCTCGAACTCCGCCAAGGCGACTTACCAATGATCGAGTACACCCGTCGTTTCGAACGTGGTTGCCTCTACGCTCCATTCATCGCTCGAGACGCCGAGGAAACGAAGAATCATTTCATTCGTGGCCTCCAACCCGAAATCCGTAGAGACATTCGTGTTAGAGTAGGTGACCAACAAGCCAACTTGTGGCTGTGGTCTTTCGTATTTATTATTGTAATAAACGAACCTTCATTCGTATTAATGATAAAACATCTTGGCATTCTATATCTTTGTCCCTTTGTCACAAGCATAGATATAGTCCTTACAGTTATTACAAGTACTAGTAATTGATCGTTAGGATTGTGAGATATTTACTCAAGTATTATAACTGTTAAACGTGTTCCTAGTCGAAGGGTTACGCCACTAATCAGGATACGGGGAGGCGACGGGATCCGAT